CTCAGGCCTTCTAGCTACACCACCAGCTGTCCTGGGTCTCCAGCATGCAGACTGCAAACTATGGGGCTCCTCAGCCTCCATAATCACATGAACCAATTCCTTATAATAAATCTCTCCCTAGATAAACATATGTTTATATCTCCTATTGGTTCTGTTTCTCTGGAGAACCATGACTAATACAGATGCCATGGCTATAGGACTTTTCTGATCAAGCTCAGCTGTCACATCCATTTAACCAGTCTCTAAGAACTTCCAAAATTTCCCTAATTTTCCTGTCTTCTACGCCCTCTAATCTCTTTAAACCTCTGCCTGTTACCCAGTTCCAAAGCCACTTCCACATCTTCAGGTATCTTTATAATGATGCCCTGCTCGATATCAACTGTCTGTATTAGTTCGTTTTTGTGTTGCTGTAAAGAAATACCTGAGTTTGAGTAATTTACATAGAAAAAAAGTTTAATTGGCTCACAGTTCTGTAGACTATACAGGATGCATGGTGCTGGCATCTGCTCAGCTTCCAATGAGACCTCATGGAGCTTTTATTCATGGTAAAAAGCAGAGTGGGAGCCAGCAAATCACACAGTGAGAGAGAAAGCGAGAGAGAGAGGAGGGAAGTGCTACACTCTTTTAACAATCAGATCTTGTGTGAACTCAAAGTAAGAATTCACTCATTATCATTAGGACAGCACCAAACTATTCATGAGGAATCCACCCCCATGACTGAGACACCCCCCACTAGGCCCACCTTCAACACTGGAGATCACATTTCAACATGTGTTTTGGAGGAGCACACATATAACTATATCACCATGGGAGTGCAGCTGGTGGTTCTAAGAGAAGAGGAAGAGAGACCGGAGCCAGCACACTCAGCCTCCTTACCATGTAACGCCCTGCATCACCTCAGGGCTCTGCAGAGTCCTGCCAGACAGAAGGCCCTCACCAGATGTGATTCCTCGACCTTGGGCTTCCCAGCTCCCAGAACTGTAGAAGATAAATATTATTTCTTTATAAATTACCCTGTTTCAGGAATTCTCTTATAAGGAACACAAAATGCACCAAGACACTTCCCAAAGAAAATCTGTTCTTACAAGGCTCATTATGTCCTCTGGGCCCCAAAAGCAGTGAGGCCTGTTTTGGTGTCTAGGGAAATGGCTGAACCTTTGCTATTTTTGTTCATCTGGCATATCATTACGCAGTCCTTACAGAGGAGAGTATAGTTTTCATAACTGATACCCTATCTGTATCAATGTGGTTAGATGTATCTATTGAGCTCTTTATGCTCTTTATCACACAGGACCATTGTGCTAATGGAAGGATTTAAATCAACCCTGGAGGGAATGATTAAGGTTTACAACTAATTGTTCTATCAATTGGGATAAGTTATGGCATGTTATTTGCATATGTAAAAGCCACCCTAGGAATACTTCAGCTTCTACCTTTTTGAATTAATCCTTGGAAAGAAAAGAACAAATAAACTAGTCTAGAAAGGGACATTTACAGATCACTAATGTTAATAGTTGGCTTTGTTTAAGTTCTGAAAAAAAATTAAGAGGCATAGCATTAAATAGGTCAAGAGGAGTGGAAAGGACATTTAGGGGCAAGGAGAACAGTGTATGAAATTGATTTTAACCTTTTTTAGGGGGAGAATGCCACTTTGTGGATCTAATGAAAGTTATGAATTCAGACAAATGCACACAAGCACGTACATGCAAAGTGCCACTTGCATCCCTGCAGGGTACTCAGGCTCCCTGCAGCCCACCCACCAGCTCCTAGGGGGATGCAGAGCAGCCAGTTAAAGCCCTCCAGGGCATGAGAGACTCAGATAACACTAGAAACACCAGCTGCATTGGAACAGATGGTTGATATTGGAGAAGACAAGGTTGGAAAACTAGATAGAAACTCTGGAATGCTGAGGTTAGGGGACATCACCCTAACCTAGTGAGGTACTGAGGATGAGGGCTGTTAAGTGTTTTAGGCAGGACACACACTGAAGACCAAAGAAGGAATCCCAGATCTTGACCATGTCACCTTCCTGGGCTTTAATAGCCTCGTCTGTAAAAGGCAAATAACAATGCATGATTTTCCTGTTTTATAGGAGTGTTCTCAGGGTCAGCATGAGAACAAATTGAGATAATGTAAGTGAAGGTGTTTTGTAAACCTTTCAGGTTACGAAAGTATAAAATGGTGTTTTAAGATAATTAGCTTGTAACGTGATGTGTTTATACACTCACAGCCCTCAAGGATGGGGTAGAGAACATTTAATGTGGCTTGAAACTGTTAGGATAAGAGAATGAGAAAATCCATAGATATATTACAAAGTAAACCAGGTGGAATGAACTTACCGCTTTTGAAATAAAGGGTAATACTCCAGGTAGATTATTACCTTTTAGTGTGAATGGAAAGGTCTTGAGGAAGACTGGGAAGAAGATGAGAAATATTAATCCTGAAGGCCCCCGAATGTTTCCAGAGGTCTTTCTTCCCAAACCAGATGGCAAATGAATTAGATTCTGTGTGAGTTGTAGAATATTAAATTTTATAACCAAACCAAATTGATGTCCTATGCCTGGAACCTATGCACTAGTGAGTCTACTGGGAGCGGCTTAGATTATCTTCACTACTGATTCATGAAAAAGGTTTTGGCAAATGGTCTCAGGCAAGGAATGAAGCCAGGAACAGCATTTGTCATACCAGATGGGCTGACTCACCCTTTGGATAGAAAAGTTCACCTGTCTTATTCTAAAAGCTACCCTGTGTTCTCTTAAATGGACCAGGGACATTTGTCATATTCTACATTGATGAACAAGTCTTGTTTATCTAGTGTCTATGAGCTTCTGGGACGCTTAAGTTTGGTAATAAGTATTACCTATTAAGCTGGATTTTTGGAGAAAATGAAAACCCATGTGGACATCCAAAGGCCAGCTGTTTGGAAGAAAAGATGGGAAACTGTCTCATAGCTACGTTGGGAGAAAGAAGACATTATCAGAGGTTGGGAGTATACTGTATGCAAGACACAGGATATTCCATAGGATAGTAAATAAGAGATTTTCCCTTGTTTCGGGCCACAGAGGGACCTTGGTGTCTTGACACCAAAACGTAACTCCCATGGCCAGGCCTCAGTGGCTCACGGCTGTAGTTCAGTGCTTTGGGAGGCTGAGGTGAGAGGGTCACTTGAGGCCAGGAGTTTAAGACTAGCCCGGGCAACACAGCTATGGAAAAGTAAAAAATTATCTGGGCATGGTGGTGTGCATCTGTAGTCCCAGCTGCTCAGGAGGCTGAGGTGGGAGGACCGCCTGAGCCCAGAAGTTTGAGGCTGCAGTGAATTCTGATCACGCCACTGCACTCCAGCCTGGGTGACCAAATGAGACCCTCTCTCAAAAATAAACAAATAAACAAACAGTAACTCCTTAAAATGCTATTTGAATAAAAAGTCTTGAAGATCGCTTCTCCCCCACTTTCATCCAGCTGTTCCATGCTCATTATTTAAGTTCAGATGAAATGCCACTTCCTCAGAGAGGCCCCCTACCTCCCTGGATAGCTCCCCTCCTCCCTGGCCCCGCCTCAGGGACACTGCCCTGTGCCCACCGTGTTTCCGCACTGAGTTACTGGGTCAGGTTTTGCCTCCTGAACACGCGAGCCCCACAGGGATCCCGTCTGTCTTGCTCGCTGCTCTACCTTCCACCCCAGCATGCGTCTGACCCACCTTTGTTGCACGGATGAATCTGTGAAGCTTTGGAAATAGTGAAACAAACCTCCATTTGCTTACCAGGCTTTACAGTCCCAGGTCTTTTCTGCTATTTTTTCTGACACATCTTTTGGATTTTATTCTTACAAGGCATCTTCCTGTTCCCACTGCTGCTGTCCTCATTCAGAGTTTCCTGGTATTTGGTCCACTGCAATGAACTCGGAAATGTGTTGTCTGCCTTGGGTCTCCCTCTGCTCCAGACCATTCTGCAATCTCTTGCTGGATCAATTTTCTATTTCCTTTTCAAAAAACAAGCCACGAGGCTGGCTTTCAATTCCCACTTATGTGTCTCTGCTCCCCAGCCTCTTCTTTATGTGCCCTTTGAGTCAGTCAAGTCCAAGTCTGTCTCCTGTTTGCCTACATAGCCTACGTTTTTCTGCCCCAAACCTTTGCTTACGTGGTTCTCTCTTTCTTTTTTCTAGAAATGGAGTCTCACTATGCTGCCCAGGCTGGCCTTGAACTCCTGGGCTCAAGTGATCCTCCCATCTCAGCCTTCTGAGTAGCTGGGATTACACCTGGGCTCAAGTGATCCTCCCATCTCAGCCTTCTGAGTAGCTGGGATTACACCTGGCTTGGCTTTCAAGTGGTTATTTTTACTTGCCCAAATATTAGTCAACTTTTAAGGCTCAGTTCAAATATTCTCTCCTCCAAAAGGCTTTTCTTGAGTTCACTAAACTAATAGTAAGCTCTGCCTCCTTACACTTTTCTAACACTTTATTTGTTCCCCTCTTCTGGTATGACACACTTCATGTAGTTGTCTGAACTCTCCCACCAGGCCATGAGCTCCTCAAGCAGAGGGCTAAGTCTTAGTCATATTTGCCTTCCACAGCACGCTCAGCCCAGGGCCTCGCACAGGAGATACTCCACTAGAACTGTGGAATTAAGGACCGCTTCAACATTCTTGTTTGGGTTTAGTTTTGTTTGAAGCCTAGGAAAATGCAAAACATCCTGGAATATATTCGTCATGATTATGGCTAAGGGAAAGAAATCTGTCTCTCTTTTTTTCATTCTTTTTTATTTTTTTATTTTTTATTTTTTTGAGATGAAGCCTTACTCCATCACCCCAGGGTGGAGTGTAATGGCGTGATCTCGGCTCACTGCAAGATTTGCCTCCTGGGTTCAAGCAATTCTCCTGCCTCAGCCTCCCAAGTAGCTGAGATCACAGGTGCCCGCCACCACACCTGGCTAATTTTTGTATTTTTAATAGAGACGGGGTTTCACCATGTTGGCCAGGCTGGTCTTGAACTCCTGACCTCAGGTGATCTGCCCGCCTCAGCCTCCCAAAGTGCTGGGATTACAGGCATGAGCCACCACGGCTGGCCAGAAATCTGTCTCTTATTTGAAGAATGGTCTGGCAATGGATTGTGGTTTGGTTGGTAAAAACAAATCATATAGAACTTTACAGTTTGCAGTGTGCTTTTAGCAGCTTGACTTCAACCAATGCTCTCAACCTTGTGAGGCAAACAGGTGTGTTATAGGTGTCTCCATTTCACAGTTCAGGAAACTGAGACTCAGAGGGGATAAACAGCTGTTCCGTGGTGGAGCTGGTGCTAGGGGCCTGTGGCTCCAGATGGCATGCTCTCTCCCTCTGCTGCTGTCCTCTAGCCCTCACCACGAGCTCAGCGGGCTGAGATGGGTGGAGACCCTGATCCATTTTTGCTGCATTTTTCAGAGATGGCTCCAGAAACTCCAGTATTTCCAGATGAGCATTCATCCCAGGTGAGAGAGATTGCACATACATGAGCTCAGCTTTCAGTTCAAGAAGCTGGAACGAAGAGCAATGCTGAAAAGTCATAGAGCTTGATTACACAGTGATTGAGATATTTTATGAATTAAGTGGAAAGGATGCTTCCCGCGAACTAGGAGCTAGTTCTCTGCGAACTAGTTTCCTAGTAGAAAGAGTCAGCAGCAGGTAAAAGGAGTTCAGGCATTAGACTTAGATGGACCTGGGTTCAAATCTCAGCCTTACCACTCACTGGCTATCTGGCTTTGAGAAAATTACCCATCTGAGTCTCCATTTCATTAATTGTAACTGAAATAGTCACTCTGATCATGTCCCAGATGCTGTAAATATATTATCCCATTCAATTCTCTTACAGATGCTAAGAAGTAGGTGTTGTATTATTATTATTATTATTATTATTATTATTATTATTTTTACTAATTTTTGCTCTTTCTTCACTCTACAGACAAGAAACAGGTTCAGGGAGCAAAAGGTTTCCAGCAGCAAGAGGTTGCCAAGAAGATAAACACCAACCCACTTACTCACCATCCAATATCACCAGCCACCATTGACATAACAAGGAAAGGAAAACTGTCTCAGCAGGGTTCATGTGGTGGTCAGATAAGAAAATGTGTTTGAACCGTCTAGATGATATTAATTGGATCCCTGCTCATTTATTTAAATAAATGTTTATAAGTAAATAGGTATATCCAGGTATCTGTATTTCTTTAAGCCATGTTTGGATGATAAATCTTTTGGTTAATGGTGATGATTAGTCAGCCCAGTTCATATTTATACTTAGCTTTTTCTTTCTTCTTTCTTTCTCTCTGTTTTTTTTTTTTGTTTTGTTTTTTTTTGTTTTTTTTGTTTTTTTTTGCAGACATTCCTGGAAACAATGACCATTCAGAACACAAGGCAGAATCCAGCACCACCCTCCAACCAGTGGCAGCAGATCCCACTGGCTAGGAGGGGCCCTCAGAAGCAGGGCAGGAGCCTTTGAAAGGTCACTCTTGCAAACACAACCTCTATATGGCAACACAGATCATAAGCACAGAAAGGAATTGTGTTACAACTGGTGTTATGTTTGATGGGGAGTTGCAGGAGTTAATCAAGGAAGAATAAAACCTAGGGAAAAATATTGTACAAGAATTATTGATGGGTTTGTATTTAAACTCATTGTTTTCATTAGACTTTTTTTTTACCCCTTTCAGTGGTCATGCTGGCATCAAGGCCCTGAGTGGATGCTCATAGCCGGGGTCTATTGAACGTCACTGAAGGGAGAGACTCCAGGGACCTGCAAGAGGGCAGGATGACCAGGTAGATGAGGACACCATAGCCCGGACTTTGAGTCTTTGCTTTGTCTCTTATTAGCTGTGTGGCCTTCAACCAATGCCTTACACGCTGGGACTCTGGCAGAGATGGCTTGTTCATCCTCAAATCATTTACTTTTCCACGGAGCACAGGGGAGAAGCCAGGAACGCCCCCACGACTGACTCTGGCCAATGGGATGTCCATGGGAGGCACGTCTGCTGTGCCCAGACCTGGCCATTGACATGTCCACGTGCTCCCCGACTCCAGCTCTTCCCCTACCTGCTGGAGAGAGAAGGTGCTGATGAGTAGAGAAGGACAGAGCCACAGAGAGAAGGGGCCTGGGTCCTGAAACACCACATGAAAAGCCACCGTGCCGGAAGTGGTCTGTGGGTGTGCCTGTGTTAGCAGGGAATATACACTTTTATTGTGCTGAGCCCCTGATAATTTGAGATTTATCTATTACTGCATCTACAATTAACTTCACTGATACAGGCACATTTTCCTTGTCTATATCATGGAGGTAAAAAATTGATCCTTATCTTAGGTGTCATAAAGGTGAAAAGAAATAATGTATAGGAAATGGTTTTAGAAATTCTATAAGTCCTCGCCAGGTGCAGTAGCTCACGCCTGTAATCCCAGCACTTTGGGAGGTTGAGGCAGGCAGATCACAAGGTCAGGAGATCAAGGCCATCCTGGCTAACACGGTGAAACCCCATCTCTACTAAAAGTACAAAAAATTAGCCAGGCGTGGTGGCGGGCACCTGTAGTCCCAGCTACTTGGGAGGCTGAGGCAGGAGAATGGCGTGAACCCGGGAGGTGGAGCTTGCAGTGAGCTGAGATTGCACCACTGCATTCCAGCCTGGGTGATAGAGCAAGACTCTGTCTCAAAAAAAAAAAAAAAGAAAAGAAAAAGAAATTCTGCAAGTCCTCATTACCAATCTGGTTAATCCACCTGGTTGCACCTGCTGGCAGCCCACTAGATCCATGGTATGCTTGCTCCTGGTCAACGCTGGGTGAAGCTCCCCAACCAGAAGGAGGCCTGAATCCACAAGTCATTCCTTAAGCCCCGTGAGGGACCCTGTGCACGTCCAAGCAGACACCATTCCTCGCACTTTTGCTTCTCTGATGGGATGCCGCGACCCTGTGCATGTCCAAGCAGACACCATTCCTTGCACTTTTGCTTCTCTGCATGGGATGCCGCAGTGCCAGCCAGGAGGTCAATGAGCTCTTCCAGCTCATCCCTGGTGGCACATTTGACGTTCTGTTACATTTCTTCTACTTTGCTACCTGGAATTTCCCTCCCATATGATTCCTTTTTTTCCTGATAACAAAAGGATTACATGTCTATTGTGGAAATTTTGAGAAGAAAATTTTATTATGAAAAGAGTAAAACATCCACCCGCTAAAGATGATCATTAACAATATTATGGCATATGTCTTCCCGTATTTCTTTCTTCTTTCTTTCTTTTTAAACATCTCTCGCCTCTGGCTGAATCCTCATATTCCTTTTTTCTTCTTTTTTTGGTGGAGGTTGCTGAAAATCCTTATATTTCTTAAGGCAAGTATATATATACATTTTTTACCATAGTTGAGAACGCCATACGCTATGATTTGGTAGCTTACATTTTATGTTCTGCTTGTCATGATCATAGCATTTCCCATATCACTAAAAGCTCTTACCGTCATGACTTTGAGTTCTATACTATTCCATTGTAAGGATGTACCATGATTTTCCCTGTTGTTAGTTAGTTAGGTTGTTTCTAGGTGTTCAGTTTTGTAAGGAGTGCTGCAGTGAACATATTTGTAAAGTGTGGATTGCTTCCTTTGCAATTTGAATTCTTTAAGGTCATTCAGGTTTTGGATCTGGGTAACATGTAGAAACCTATTACATTTCTTAGGTATGACCTGGTTTCCAGAATATTGAAGCATGGGAAGGTCAAATGTGGGCTACAAGGAGTCCCAGGTTTGATAGCGGAGATTCTTGAAGCCCGGACAGGAGTGTTCTTTGCACTAGCTCTAGGTACAGGCGTCTGAACTGCCTGAGCATAAGTAATGTGATGGTTCATTTTAGGTGTCGACTTGCCTAGATTATGGGGTACCCAGATAGCTGGCAAAGCATTATTTCTTGGTAAGTCTGTGAGGGTGTTTCCAGAAGAGATTGAGATTTGAATCAGAGGACTGAGTAAGGAAGATCCGCCCTCACCTGATGTGGGCGGGCACCAGCCAATCTGCTGAGAGTCCTGATAGAACAAAAAGGCAGAGGAGGGGTAAATTTTCCCTTCTTCTGGAGCTGGGACACCCTTCTCCTCCTACCCTTGGACACCAGCACTCCAGGTTCTTTGGCCTTCAGCTCTGGAACTTGCACGTACCCCACAGGGTTCTCAGGCCTTAGTGTTGGTCTGAGCCACACTATTGACTTCCCTGGGCCTCCGGCTTACAGTTCGTGGGACTTCTCAGCCTCCAGAATCACATGAGCCGTTTTTCCTAATGAATCCTCTCTCATTATGTATCATCTGTCCATCCATCCTATTGGTTTAGTCTGAGTGAAAAACCCTAATACGTGAGACAATGGAGACCACCCTTCTCGTTCTCTGTGGGGGACATGCCCCCCTTTTTTCTTGGAAGAGTCTGGGTTGCACTGTCGGGCCAGACAACACACTTCTAAAAGTGTTATTCTCTCTCTCTCTCTCTATTTCCCTCCCTCCCTCCCTCCCTCCCTCCCTCCCTCCCTTCCTTCCTTCCTTCCTTCCTTCCTTCCTTCCTTCCTTCCTTCCTCCCTCCCTCCCTCCCTCCCTTCCTCTCTCTGTCTTTCTCCCTCCCTCCCTCCCTCCCTCCCTCCCTCCCTCCCTTCCTTCCTTCCTTCCTTCCTTCCTTCCTTCCTTCCTTCCTTTCTTCATTCCTTCCTTCCCTCCCTTCCATCCTTCTTTCCTTCCTCTCTTCTACACCTGAGCATTTTTTTTACTGAGATGTAATTAATATTCCTTAAAATTTGCCTTTTAAAAGTGCAAAATTTGACAGTTTTTAACATAATCACAAAGTTTTGCAGCCATCACCACTAATTTCAGGACATTTTTATTACTCCCAGAAAGAAACACCAACCCCATTAATTGTCACTTCCCATGCTCCCCTCCCAGCCATTGGCAACCACTAATCTACTTTCTGTCTCTATGGATTTGCCTTTCCAGACTTCATATAAATGGAATCTATAACATGTGGCTTTTGGAGTCTGGCTTATTTTATTTAGCATAATGTCCTCAAGGTTTATCCATGTTGTTGTATATATTGGTTTTTCATTCTTCTCATGGCTGAATAATATTCAATTGTATGGATAGATCACATTTTGTTTATCCATTCATCAATCGATAGACATTTGAGTTGTTTTCACTTTTTGACTATCATGAATAATCCCTCTGTGAACCTTTGTGTACAGGTTGTTATGTGGATGTATCTTTTCAATTCTCTTTGGCATGTATCTAGGAACAGAATTACTGTCTAATTTACTTTAGAATAGCAAAATTGTTTTCCAGAGGGAAACACCATTTTACATTTTCACCAGCAATGTATGAGAGTTCCAGTATCTCCACGCTCTCTCTGCCACTTATTTGTCTATCTTTTTTATTATAGGTATCCAGGTAGGTGCGAAGTGGTACCTCATTGCGGTTTTGATGTTCATTTTCCTAATTACTAGTGATGCTGAACATCTTTTCTTTGCATACTGGCCATTTGTATATCTTCTTTGTGTGTAATTTCTGTCTACTCAAATCGGTTGTTTACAAAATTTTTGTTCTTTTCTTTTTATGATTACATTATAAGAACTCTTTATATATTCTAAATACTAGATGCTTATCATATATATAATTTGCAAATTTTTCTCCTATTCTGTGGGTTGTCTTGTCACTTTCGTGATAGTGCCCTTTGTCACAAAAGAGTTTTTAATGTTGATGAAGTCTATTTTTTGACTTCATCTATAAAATCCATAATTTTGATTTATCTTTCTTTTTCTTTTTTTGCTTAACGCTTTTGGTGTTATGTCTAAGAAACCATTGCTTAATTCAAGGTCATACAGATTTACTCCTGTGTTCTTTTTAGAGTATCGCAGTCTTAGCACTTTCACTTAAATCTCTGATTCATTTTGAGCTAATTTTGTATGTGGTGTGAGGTACAGGTCCAACTTCCTTCTTTTCCATGTGGATATCGAGTTATTCTAACACCATTTGTTTGAAAGACTATTCTTTCTTCATTTGATTGCCTTGGAACCCTTGTCAAAAACCAATTAACTATAAATATATGATTTTATTTCTGGACTCTCAATACATGTCTATCCTTATGGCAGTACTGTACTGTCTTGATTCATGTAGATTTGTCATACATTTTGAAATTGGAAAGCTTGTGTCTTTCAACTTGGTTTTTATTTCAAGATTGTTTTGGCTATACTGGGTCTCTTGTATTTCTACATAAATTTTATGATCAGTTTGTCAATTTAGACAAAAGAGGCAGCAGGAATTTTCATAAGGATTGCGTTGAATCTGTAGATCAACTCAAGGAGTATTGCCATGTTAACGTTATTGTCTTCCAGAGTGTTATTCTTAAAAAACAGGACAAATTACAAATTTCAAGTTACTCAACTTCCATTTGCAACAGTTTAGTTTCTCTGCAATGTAAGTCACTCCTATTTACTCCAGCTACATTAAAAAATGGAATGCTTTACCTTGTCTGTAAATTATCTTGTTTGTACAAGATGAGCTCAACTATATTTCCTTATTAGACCTTAACAATTCCATTTTACTATGGTAATTAGGGGTAGGTACTACATGAATTTCACTGAAAGATGAAGAAGTCAGCTGGGCATGGTGGCTCACATCTATAATCCCAGCACTTTGGGAGGCCGAGGCGGGTGGATCACCTGAGGTCAGGAGTTCGTGACTAGCCTGGCTAACATGGTGAAACCCCGTCTCTACTAAAAATACAAAAATTAGCTGGGCGTGGTGGCACCCACCTGTAATCCCAGCTATTTGGGAGGCTGAGGCAGGAGAATCACTTGAACCCAGGAGGCAGAGGTTGCAGTGAGCTGAGATCGTGCCATTGCAGTCCAACCTTAGTAACAAAAGTGAAACTTCATCTCAAAAAAAAAAAATGTTGAAGAAGTCAAGGCAAAAAACTAACATTCAAGCAATTACCTCACTTGCCACAGAACAGATAGATCTGTGATAAGAATGAAAGACTGTAGTTCCCCCACTACTGTGCTCTCCTTAGGAATTAGCAAGAGCTTGTTTCCCATCCCAACTGCTTGTCCTGCATTCCCTTGTCTTGGTGTGGAATTTTGAAAAAGTACTTAATTCCTCTGAATCTGTTTTTTCATCTTTATTACAGCGGTGTGATCCCAGGTGACCAGGTGACCTCACGGGCCTGTGTTTGTAATATAAGACACACTCACTTTTAATGACAAATTAGAGTTATCAAAGTTATACCCTCCCCAGCCTGGCTTCCAGAAACCCTCTTCACAGTGTCCCCTATTTGTTCTGAGTCTCAAAAGAGTGTCTTCTGCACGCAGAGCCAGTGTGTTAGCTGCAGTGATCTGCTCCATCACATCACTCCCGTTGACTCTCCTGCACCTGTTCCCCACCTCCACCCCCCTTGCTTCTGCAGGACCACAAGGAGTGCTTGTCATTGCAT